AATTGATGTTCAAGATGTTACAAAATTACCAGTTATTACTTGGTGACCCCTTGGATATAAGCCATATGGAAGAGGGATCTGTAAGTTTCAAATTTATATAATCAGAAGAGTAATGGATTTCTTAATGGAAATATGTAAGGTTATAGAAGCAAGCTGGTTTATTGGAAAGATAAAGAAAATGGGACTTAGACGTATGAATTTAAGGTGAGAACTGGATAATTGAATGATGGACAGTTATGGTAGATGAGTTACCATACATAAGTGATGTTTAAAGCTTAATAGAGTAGATAAGAGATTTAAGGCAAAAGTAATGTCAATGTTGTTTGAGGATTGCAGTACATTGAGCTCCATAGAGACAGCGCAGGGCAAGTGAGAGCCAGATGGGAACTGGCCGGCTCTGTGCCTCGCTGAGGAAAAATAACTAAACATGGGCAAAGGAGATCCTAAGAAGCCGAGAGGCAAAATGTCATCATATGCATTCTTTGTGCAAACTTGTCAGGAGGAGCACAAGAAGAAGCACCCAGATGCTTCAGTTGAAGCACCCAGAAGCTTCAGTCAACTTTTCAGAGTTTTCTAAAAAGTGCTCAGAGAGGTGGAAGACCATGTCTGCTAAAGAGAGAGGAAAATTTGAAGACATGGGAAAGGCGGACAGAGGTCTGTTATGAAAGAGAAATGAAAACCTATATCCCTCCTAAAGGAGAACCAAAAAGTTCAAGGATCCCAGTGCACCCAAGAGGCCTCCTTCGGCCTTTTTCTTGTTCTGTTCTGAGTATCGCCCAAAAGTCAAAGAACAAAATCCCTGCCTATACATTGGCGATGTTACAAAGAAACTGGGAGAGATGTGGAACAACACTGCTGCAGATAATAAGCAGCCTTATGAAAAGAGGGCTACTAAGCTGAAGGAAAACTATGAAAAGGACATTGCTGCAGCAAACAAGAGAGTTGTCAAGGCTGAAAATAGCAAGAAAAAGAAGAGGAGGAGGAAGACAAGGAGGATGAAAAGGATGAGAAGGAAGAGGAACGTGATGACGGTGAATAAGTTGGTTCTAGAGCAGTTTTTTTCTTGTCTATAAAGCATTTAACCCCCCTGCACACAACTCACTACTTTTAAAGAAAAAAAATGAAATGTAAGGCTGTGTAAGATTTGTTTTTAAACTGTACAGTGTCTTTTTTTTTGTACAGTTAACACACTACCAAATGTGTCTTTAGATAGCCCTGTCCTGGTGGTATTTTCAATAGCCACTAACCTTGCCTGGTACAGGATGGGAGTTATAAATTGGCATGGAAATTTAAAGCAGGTTCTTGTTTGTGCACAGCACAAATTAGTTATAAATGGGGATGGTAGTTTTTTTCATCTTCCGTTGTCTCTGATGCTGCTTATACAAAATAATTGTTCTGTTAACTGAATACTAATCTGCAGTTGCGAAAAAAAAGTTGCATCTGTTTTGTTGACATTCTGAATGCTTCTAAGTAAATTCAATTTTGTAATTAAAAAAAAAATATATATATATACATATATTGTTTGAGAACTTGCCCGGCACTGTTCTAACTACTGGATATGTATGAACTCTTACAATTCTTTTGTTTAATTTATTTTTTAATTGAAATGTATTGATTGTAGATATTTATGGGGTGCAGAGTTATATTTCAATCCATGTATATAATTTGTAGTGATCATATCAGGATAGTCTGTAAAGTCATCATCTCACAACAATTCTGAGAGCTAGCTAGGTAATCCCAGATAAGGAAACTAAGGCACAGAAAGGTTAAGTGCTTCTTCAAGGACACATAATTATTAAGGCAGCACACCGGTATTCAAATCTAGGCAGTCTGACTCCAGAGTCAGTGCTTTTAGCACCTATGCTATACCTCAAGATCACAGAGAAGTAGAGTATAAATAAAGAAAAAAACAGAGGGGCAAGTATTAAATTTTAGGAACACTCACCAAAGGCACCCCCCCAATTACTAAAAATGACAGAAGACTAAGATAAAGTAAAAAGAAGGATAACATTTCTAGTACGTAAGCTGCTACCAATGCTTTAGAGCAGTCACATTCATGAATCATAGCATTTGAGGACTGAAAGTGACCTGTTTTCTCATGTAGAAAAGACATTTTGTGACCCAGAAAGTTGTATGATTTGCCCAAGGTTATAAAACTGATAGTATTAAGACCAAAATTCTGCTCTCAACCCTGGTACAATTTTATTTTTAATTATTTATTTATTTTTATTTTTTTTGTCTTTTTCGTGACTGGTAAGGGGATCGCAACCCTTGGTGTGGTGTCGCCCGCAACGCGCTTAGCCACTGAGTGCACCAGCCATTCCTATATAGGATCCGAACCCGCGGCAGGAGCATCGCTGCGCTCCCAGCGCTGCACTCGCCTGAGTGTGCCACAGGGCCGGCCCACAATTTTATTTTTAATTCACTGCTTTTATCACAGTAATATTCTAATTGTATGATAGATGGGAGAAAGATTATTGCATATGAGTGTATAAAATATATACAGACATATTAAATAAAGACGTGTGGGTGTGTATTTTTCTAGCTGGTTTAGCATATGGAGAGATTATAATACTCAGCTTATTGCAAAAATAACAGTTTGTCAAACTTTCCATTTCGTGCCTTTTACTTCCTATTTCCCTCCGCTGTTCTTGCTACACTCTGCTATAGGATTCCTACAAAAACCATGTTGTTGAAGGTTCATAATGTCAATGGCCTCTATAATTCTTAATTATCTTCCTCAATCACTAAAAATGATATATCATCCCCACATCAGCCAGCTGACCCAGAAAGGATATCTGAAAGCTGGAGTTTTTAGAAAGTTGGGATTTATGCTGTGTCTTGAGGGAAGAGCAATATTAAGACAAAGGGAGAGGACATTTCCAGACACAGGAAATAAAGGTATAGAAGTGTTGAAGAGAAAACAGTAGATAAATATGGAAGGAATAAGAAATTCGAATTCTAGTTCCTCATCTTAGGAAGCTTTGAAACTAGTTGTATATTGTTATAGAAATGTTTACTGTTAGAGTTATCTTTATTTTCTTCTACTTTTTTATATATGAAACTTTATTATGTATCTTTAGTTGAAAACTTTTTTGAAGGATTATAAAATCAGTTCTAGGAAAAAAACTAACATAGGATTATGTCATTATCTTGAGGGAGACCATATTAACCCCATTTTCTGGGAGAAGTAGTCTAAATCTGGAGTTTTTTCAAAAGGTTTTTACTGTTAACAGCAAAAGCTTTCTTTCCAAACAAAATTGTAGCCACAATCCCCCAAACTGAGCTGCTCTACCTGCCCCGTCTTCCCTTTCCCCCTCCTGGGGCCCCTAATAACAAATCCATGAAACATTAGGGCTCTCAAAACAGTTTGCAAATCACTAGTCTAAGCAATTGAATGTCACTGTTTAGCTCTCACATAATACAATTTTTATTTACTTTGTGTTGCTGATAACTGCAACTAGAGTTTTTGCTTAGAATGCTTAGAAGTTTAGATGCCATGAGGTCAGGACATAGGTACATTTTTTCTAGCTTTACTTCTTAAATGGCTATCATTTGCCAGATGCTTACTAAGTGATAAGGATTTTACACATATCATCTAATCCTTAGAACAATCCTGTGAGGAAGATAGTATCCCCATGTTACAGATGAAGAAATTGAGCCTCAGAAAGATGAAATAACTTACCCAGTGTTATTCAGCTAGTGAGTGGCAGAGCCAGAATGAGAAACTTAAGTCTATCCTGACTTAAAGCCCATGATTTAACGGATTTTACAGAACAATGCCTGACAGATAGTGAGGACTCTAAGTGTTTTATAAATAATACCTCATCTAATCCTCACAGCAATCCTCTAATATAGACACTCATTATCTTCATATTACATATGAGGAAACTGAGCAACAGAGAGATTACGTCATTTACATGTGTTCTTATTCACCATATCCCTTGCCATAATTGCAAACACTTTAAGATTAGCCTAACATACTTACGTAGTTGGGAACCTCAATTAAATTTTTTAACCCAACGCATTCCAAAGTATTGTTCTAGGCTATTTGTATTATCTTTCCCAAACTTAGAATATTCAGAATTAAAAAGAAATACAGTCTGGAAGTTTGCTTCAGTCCTTTTTCCTGTTTGGAATAATTTAAATACTGTCAGCCCTCCATACCTGAGGGATCCCCATCCGTGGATTTGACCAACTACAAATTGAAAATATTCAGAAAAGAAATTGTGTCTGTGCTAAACATGTAGTCTTTTTTCTTGTCATTATTCCCTGAAAAATTCAGTAGAATAACTATTTACATAGTATTTACATTGTATTAGATATTATAAGCTAGAAATGATTTAAAGTATATGGGAGGATGTGCTTAGGTTATATGAAAATACTGTGCCATTTTGTATCAGGGGCTTGAGCATCCATGGATTTTGCTATCTGAGAGAGTTCCTGGAACCAATCCCCCACAGACAGCAACAGATAGCTGTACTTTGTCAATTATTGTTTTAATGATCCAAAGCAATGAATCACTTTACACTTATCTGAGGGGGATACGTTTCCAAGACCCCCAGTGGATGTCTCACACTGCAGATAGTACTGAACTCTATGGTAGTTTTTCTGGTATGTACATATCTATGATAAGTTTAATTTATAAATTGGGCACTATAGGAGATTAACAACAGTAACTAATAATAAAATAGAACAATTATAACAGTGTACTGTAATAAAAGTTATGTGAATGAGGACCCTCTCTCTCAAAATATTTTATTGTATGTAATATTTGCAGACTGCAGTTGACCCTGGGTGACTGAAACTGTGGAAAGTGAAACCTCAGATAAGGGGGGACTACTGCTTAGTAATACTGCCTTATCTGGAGATTTTTTAAAAAATCGGTAACTTAGATTTTTATCTTACATTTAGAGACAGCTGTTCTTTTTTGTCATAATTTTTGTACTTAATTTTACTAAAATCTTATTAAAATTCAAAAAGTAAGCTTTCCACTATAGGTTGTGGCCATTGCACCAACCCATTACATATGGCAACGAGAACGCTCTGTGCATCGCAGTGGAGCTGTCAGAAGGTACAACAGAGATGAAGTTCAATTGCCCCGTGGACCTAGTGCCAAACCAGTAGATTGTTCACTCTGTGGTAAAACACGAAGAAAAAGATATGTTAGACTGGGATTGTCTACATCATCATCATCCAGTGATACAGTAGAGGTGATGGAAAAACATTCTCAGGAGTTACACAACTCAATCTCAATGGACATAATAGTTGATCCTTCTCAAGCTTGTAGCTATTCTCAAGGTATGAATCAGTGATACGCCAGAATTAGATTTGTATTAGTTATTGAGCTCAAGTTAGTCCTTACAGGCATGGATACGTAAAAATTTATGTACTACAACAATATAAGTTAGGTTAGTCTTGGAAGTTTTCCCCTTTCAGTTACCACTTTTTGTCTTGTGTCCTTATCTGTTTTGTGGTAGCGTACCTATACAAAAAGGATTAATGTGATATATTAAATTGAAACCAAATGCAACATAAGCCTCAAGCAGTTTAAGAATTAAGTATTTTAAGAGACTGAATCATTTCTTTGAAATGTTTATTTTATTAAAAAGGGGTTTCAAGGACTGGCCAGTTAGCTCACTTGGGACAGAGTGGTGCTGGTAACATCAAGGTCACAGGTGTGGCTCCCTGAACTGGCCAGACGCCAACAAAAACCAAACAGAAAACCAAAAGGAATTTCAAGAAGAAAATAAATTTACTTGTAATCTCATCATCTAACTATTTGTTTCTTTTATATACTTTATTTCTAACTAAATCAGAACCATACTATATCAAGGCCTGCTTTTTTTTTAATCTTAAATCATTTTCCCATGTCATTGTTTAGTCTTTGAAAACCTAATTTTTAATCTTATCCTGTTATAAGAACCATAATTTATTTGCATATTTCATTTTTGTTGGGGTTTAAGTGGCTGTAAACAATACCATATAAATTAGAAAATAATCATATGAATTGGAAATACAATCACAACCTAATTTTCATTCAAATTATTTTTATATAGATATAGTAGTTCTCTGACATTTCTAGATTCAAAACACTACTAGAATAATATTCTACTATCAGTGATCCTTTTAACTTCTTATAAAGCCTTTCTTCCAGATTTCCAACCAAGTGAAGATAGGACTGACAGATTTCTCATGATCCTTTCTAACTCTGTCATGAGAAATTAGCAGACCCACAGTATTTCAGAATTTCACCTATTTATTTTTACCACGTCCCTATGAGATTAACAGTGGCTGCCAAAGCTTTACTAAAGGGGGTAACTAGACATAAGACTTTTGAAGGTAGGTGTCATGCCTAGTCATTGTTCCCTTCCCTTGCAATAGCAATCACTCAAAAACTTTGACTAACAAGTAGTCTCTTCCCTTTCAACAATTCCAAGCATAATTTTTATTTTTTCACTCATATTTGAAGGTAAATAGGGTCCCCCATAAGCTAAATTAAAAGATTTGCATTTCAGCATCCCTCCCCTTTCTCCCAGCTCCTTTTGCCTTTACACTATTTTATTCTCATAATAGGTAAGATTTACTGGATGTTTAAAATGCCATAGGCAGTAGAGTAAGCATTTTACATTCATAATATCATTTAATGTTCACAGCTAACCATAAGGTAAATAGTATTATCTCCATTTGGCAGATAAGGAAACTGAGACTTCCAGAGGTTAAGTAATTTGCCTGAGGTGGTGGAATGGCATTTGAATCCAATATGAACCTTGACTAGAACCAGAATTCCTAACTATTATGCTTTACTGTGCCTTCAATGAAATCCTGTCTTTGGCAGTGACAGTAAACTGCTACAGAAGTCGAGTGGTGAAATTTAGAACCCAGTCCTTGACGAAAGGATGTGAGTTGAGAGAGAATTCCGAAGACAATCTGAACAGATACGTACAGAAAGCAGAACAGAAACAGTTACATTTTATTCAGATTACCTCCTGTAGATAGATTTACAGTGGTAACACTCTAATCTAGGCCTTGACATCACAACAGGAAATTGGAGCCCACCCAGGGATTAAGAGACTCTGCCAGTCAGTGTGCTTTGGGAACAAAGCAGGTCTTTGACTATGGATGAAAAGTCAGGTATTTTTAGAAGGAACTGTGATTTCATCCTGTCCATGGATAAAAGCCTTCATTTAGGATTCATAGGTCCTAATACAGGAAGCAACAAGTATTTACCCATCACTGTCTTATTCTCAGTATTAACTGAAGGTTAACTGTAAAAGCTTTTGTTTCCGAATATGAGTATAGGCAATAAAAAGAAAAATTATTGATCACACACACACATTTGACCAGTAAAAATTTATATTCATTTTCCTCCACTAGGCTTAACAGAGAGTGAACTAAAGGGGTCGGGGGAGGGCACAGTGGAGGGTAATAGGGACACATGATGTTATCAAGAGTGGGCTCAGTCTCTCACTGCCTAAGCAGCGTCAGATTCCCAGTAGTGATCTCTGCTAGGAAATTTTTCTTCCTTCAGTCCACAGAAGGTTGGAATTACCTGATGATTTGTGGTTGCAGAAAACTTAATTCAGCATTATCCAAGAGAAACACAAGAGCTGATGCTCTGCTCCAGGCTTTTATACTAAAATTTAGTATAGATGGCTATCAGTACTTCGACCTTTGTTTCAAACACAAGCAACTTCTTGATTTTCAGGTAAAAACATGTTTAAAATTTTTTTCTTAAAAACAACATGTTCAAAAAACAAGTTTTACATGAACATGTTTATGACATGAAGAATAAAATGTTTTTTTTTTTTTCAATTTGACAAGGTGGGTTGAAAACACTGTCAAAACATCTCACTTTGGGGAGTGAGGAATAGATGAAGCATTCTTTACAAATTTACATACATCACAATCACCAGTCATGAGCCAGACGTTTATAAAGGTAATCTCACTTAACACTCAACCCCCAAAGAAATCTTGAAGTGGCATTATGATGCTCATTTTGCTGATGAAAAAAACAAATTCAGAAAAGTCACACCGTTACCAGGTAAAACAATAGCAATAACAAAAGCGGGATGGAAAACAAGTTCTATCCGAATAAACAGCACATTTTTAATTTAACAACTTTTGTTTCTCTTTACCTTATGCTGTCTTACGCCTTATGACACCTAGGCTGGTCCAGGTGAAACATGGGCATGTATTATGTATTATCCTGGGACAACTGACATTTTAGAGCGAAGTCAAGGGAAAAAAATATACCAAGCCTTAGCCTGGGTCATGAAGGTAGGCATGGAACATTCCAACTATTAGATAATCTAAAAGCAAATAATTTTTCCTCAAAAATAGATCCTGCTTTGAACTTTCTCATTTATTTTTGTTATTACCACTGTCCTAGTTATCCATGGTTAGGATCTTTATACTTAAGGCATAATCAGGGAATATAAATTAATAATGTGATAAGGGCTATGCTAATTATATGATCAACACTTAGAAGCACAAAAAAATTCCAGAATTAATTCTGTGGGGTGTGTGATTTGGTGAAGCTTTTCAGAGGCAGTAATAAACGAGCTGGGCATTGACTGAGTCCTGTTATGCCCAGAGAAGTAAGGGAAAGGGCTTCTGAATAGCAGACGTCTGAAAATACATTTATTCTTTCCCTCTATATCCAACAAGTCACCAGCTTGTCTTCTTCTTCTTCTTCTTCTTCTTCTTCTTCTTCTTCTTCTTCTTCTTCTTCTTCTTCTTCTTCTTCTTCTTCTTCTTCTTCTTCTTCTTCTTCCTTCTCCTCCTCTTCCTCCTTCTTCTCCTCCTCCTCCTCCTCTTCCTCCTTCTTCTCTTTCTCCTCCCCCTCTTCCGCTTCCTCCTTTCCTTCTTCTCCTTCTTCTTCCTCTTCTTCCTCCTCCTCCTCCTCCTATTTCTCCTCCTCCTTCTCTCTCTCTCTCTCTCTCTCTCTC